GGACAAGAAGGGGGAGGGGGAGGCGGAGGAGGAGGAGGAGGAGAATATGGAAAAGAGGAAGGGGGAGGAGGAGGGGGAGAGGGAGAAAGAGAAACGAAGGAAAGAGGCGGAGAAGGTGGAAGAGGATGATGCATGGACCAGCGAAGCATATGTCGAAACCATTGTGTAAGACGAGTCACATGTATAGGTTGTCGACGTTGGCGAGCACAAACGTAACGAGTCCATCCTCGGGCCAATGTCGGAGGAGCATGGCCACGGGAAAGCAAACGGCGACAAGCATGGTTGCCGCAGTTATGAAATCATGCCAATTGTCACAAATCTGCTCAAACCGCGTAAGCTGGCCGGTGAACACACCTGCAGGCTGATGAGACGGAATGTTTGACGTTGCACTAGGATATCGTATAACAGGAAACTCCCATGCAACTATCTTGTCAAACACACTCAATCGGATATATATATTGTCACAAAACTATTGACTAAGAGCGTAAGCACGTGAAGTAGAAGAAGAAATAAGATGAGCCAAGAAAAGAAAAATGAAAGGACAGACAGGCAAAGAGACAGACAAACCAGAATGACACAAAACAGTGTCCTCTTATTCTTTGTTTCACTGTATTCTTATTTCTTTCAGTGTTTTACAAAAAAAATACACTGAACAAGGGATAAAAATAAAAAATAAAGACACATTGAAATCATTCAGTTTTTCAGTCTTCTTAACGCCTCCTCCACCATGCCTCTAACGTACAAGGCTCGCCGCGTTGATGAAGTTGAGCGCGAGCTGCCCCCATCCCCGTATGCCATAACAGCCCACTTGCACGCTATGGGAAAGAGGCAGAGTGAAGGAAGAGGTGTTAAACACAAGGAAGAGAGGAGCAGAAAAGGAAAACAAATAGGCAGAGGGAGAGGAAAAGAAAAGACAAAATTGACACAAATATCTTCTTTCTTTTACTGCATTCTTCTTTCTTTCACAGTTTTGCAGTTTTGGTGAACAGTCTACCACGTTGGGTTTTCAGCACAGCTGCACTTCTTCATTTTTCATTCTCATTTTCACCCTTCGGACTTTTCCTTTGAGGGTGTTAGGGTGCAGGGTACAAACAAAGTAAAATGACACAAACCTATGTTTTTCTTTTACTGCATTCTTCACTGTTTTGCAGTTTTTGTGAAGGGTTTCCCACCTTTGCACATTCTTGTACACTCTTTTCAGCACACCTGCACAGGGTGCAAGGTACGTCTAAATAAGACCCTCACGACAGATAGGACACCTGTCATAAGGATGCGGGCGATGGTAGCAGCCCTCTCGCTGACCTACAGGACGAAAACCATTCAGGTAAGCAACTTCGTCACAGTAGGAGCCAAGGCGGCTAGCATTAACCATACCTCTGAAGCATGCACTACAGAGGGCATGCCGGTTGCAGGCCATGACGATTGTGGGGCGTTCACCATCACAGTTAAGTGCACATTCGCCATAGCACCCGCAGGCACAGATGGGACACACTGCATCTGGATGTAGAGGATGTTCACAATCCGGATACAGGTGGCATCCTTGCCGGCAGCGGGCCCGAAAAATTATACGGTTGTAATGATGTCGACAAAGTCGATGCGAACAGTGGTCCGGGTCGCCACCCGAAGGGGCATGCTGCATATCAAGCCGGCGCCTTATCAAAGTAGTTTCAAAAACATAGACATTGAATCCCCCATATGGAGTGTAATTAATATCTTGCGGGGATGCAAAGTCGGGTTATCGCCATATAACTCACGTTCCTGAGCATCAAGATCGGAAGCAATGGCCAAGAAATCAGAGTGAGTATATGGTTCCCGACGATAGGCTTGCAAGCATATGTTAGTAGCAACGAGGCCACACAGATTCGGTGGAGGCCGGTCAAGCGGATTTTCTATAGAATCTCCTACAGTCCCCTTGCCAAGTTCATCCTCGGCTGGTCCCTCGCCATCATCCCTCCTATTTTGTGTTTGCCGCGTTGCAGAAAGGTCTGCAGTCGAAGAGCGTCGCAGGCGTGGTAAGGATGCTTGGGGCGGCAAAAGACGGGGACGGGATGTTGGGGAGGGCCGTGGTGGGGAGAATGAACGGGTTCTTCTTCGTCCAAGAACAGAGATGGAGGAAAGGGGAGTAAGTTGAGGTTGGAAAGTAGGCCGAAGCCAACGTCTAGGACGGCGAAGTAGGCTTTCTGTAGGGGCAGAGCATGATGACGGAGTTTGTGGAAGAAGTGGTTTGTGGATTAGGAAGAGGGGTAACAGATGGAGACAAAACCAGGGGAGGTAGGAGTGGTGAAGATAGGGGTGGTAGAGTAGCCAGAAGGTGGGTAACATACGGAGATAAAACCAGGGAAATAACGGCGGTAAAGACGGGGGGGATGAAGTCAGAGGTGATGAAGTCAAGAGGTGTTAAACACAAGGAAAACTGGTAGGCAGAAGGAGAAAAAATTAAAAAAATAATTAAAAAAAAGGAAAATTTTGAATATGCCCCTCAAAGTTCAATTTATTTGTGGCGTGCCCCTGGGATGGCCG